GCTCGTACATTATATCAGGAGCTCTTGGTAAATCGCTAATATTGAGGCTGACATCAATCAATAGGACGGCATCAATACAGCCAACGCTAATCTGTTCTAATACAACTTCTTATGTATTAGTGAGGCCCATTGCATTCTCTTTTTCTCCAAGTTGCATTGACGCGACATACGCAAGAGCAAAGAACATCGGGATATCGTTTTGGCATGACAGCAGCGACGACAACGACAGTGGTGATGTCGTTCATGACATCAAGACACTGGAGCTTTAGCTGCGAACGGAAATCTTGAGTTATAACTTTGAATTGCGCGTAAAATTTGATCCTCTAAAACCATTTGTATCTTGACCTTTTAAAATCATTTGTACTTGACCTTCCACGTTTGGAAGTCTGCTTCGACAACCTAGTTACTTAAAATCGAAGAACAACTGTTAGCTAGTCAAACACGTAACCTTGCTAAGTTTACTTCATCAAGCTGTTTCAGCTCTTTGGTAGACTATGATCCTCTAAAATCATTTGTGAGAAAGTCTACTTCGACAACCTTGTTACCTTTGTTTATCAGACATAGTCTGGCGGTGTTCTGCCAGGGTCATATTTTGTTGTTTTCTACGTGGGAATAAGCATTCCTTCGCAAAATATCGCAACCGTATGCTGCTTGCTTTCATGCAATACAAGAGAGCTCGATTCCCGCTGAGAACAACATTCCCAGGAAGTCGTATGATCAGTATATGTAACCCCGGATGGATGGTTTTTCCTTAAAACCCGACGTAGAACGTCGAATATAATCATAGTGACGACAATTTGTCGAGCATGTAGATATCCCAATATGACGTCACGGTCCATTAAGCATCAATGGTCCCAGCGAAATTTTGTCGAGATAGGACCTTAAACTCCCGTGAGTTTGTAAAGTGAGGGTATTCTATTCGCCTAAGCAATGTAGGTTACAGCTCTGCATTTTTGTCCAGTCGACATGGGAATGGTAGAGAACTTCGAAGAGTCATCCACACGAGAATCGCCCTCCACTGCCTCTCCATAATGCTACAACTTTGAGGAGAATGAGGTTGTCTATCAGTGGAGGACGACTCTTGCGTGGCTTGCTCCCTATATTCTCACGAGATGGTTAGACGTCGACTCTCTCGTGAGTTAAATCAACATCTTTTCTTGTGTATCTAAGAATAGTAAGAAGGAGAACTAGATGTGAAATAGTTCAATAGAATAAACACATTCTACAAATTACTGCTAGACAAAACAACATTGTGTCTTGAAATTTAAGCTAACACAACCAAATTCCTACTTGTTCGGAATTTTACAGCTACACCACAATGGTGAATTACTTGTCATACACAACGTTTCAGATCAAACAGCGATCTGATAAGACTCGTTACGACGACGTCCAATAGCTTTACGAAACCGAAGTGCTTTTTTCGCCAACAAAACATTGCTACGTGTACCTTGTGCATTTAAGTTTGCAGCTAGTGCCACGAGTTGATCAAGTTTGGAACTGTATTCACTTTGATTATCTTCAAACACGATGCCTTGTGCCGTACAAATAAAACTCTCGGATTTCGAACGATGTTTTAATGCTAATACAGGTTCGACCTTGCGATCTACTTGTAATACAAGTGGATCGTGATCATCCAAAGGTTCAGTTGGAACTGGTACTTCAGTATCTTCACTTAACGTTGCGAGATAGCGTTGTTTAAAACTTTGAGGACCCAAACGATGATGCGGTGAGAATATCGCCATCATAGTCTTTCAACTCAACTTGAGACGAACGGAGTAAAATTTCAAATGCTCGCATGATTCATTCCATAGTCTTGTACTTAATGGAAGTTTCCTGCCCGACTCATCCCAGGTTGAAAAGATCTTGTGCGAATTTTGGAAACTTGTTTCTATTGTTACATGATCATCAAGTGCGAACACTTAGTCGCATTCATATCTGAAAGATCTTACAACATGCTTGTTGTACATCACAACGTTCGCAGTTCCGGAACACATTTAGTGATTGCCATTCAATTCAAGTGTTTGGATGAATTTAACGGTGAAAAACTCAAGTCTTCGCTCTTGTCGTTATCTCTAGCGGTAATTGCACCGTTGACATTGATCGAAGAAAATAGAGAAGAAAAGAATCAAATGATTGATAAAATTCATGTCGATTTCAATGTTAAGTTACGACTTGTATCATTCAGTTGGTGAGTATGTTCCACCCTAAAGTTTTTTAAAAAGCACAGACTTCAACTAATGTTAATGTTCTCCGGAGGAGCCGGTTACAGTTCGTTATCGTCGCCAGCCTTTTAGCGATAAGCTTTGATAACGGACGATAACGGACATGGTCACTTTAGTCTACTGCACTACGATTAAGATTAAAGATGGTAGCATTACGACGACCTACAGTGAATTCCAAAGCTTCGAGTACGACGACTGTCAAGTCATTGTCTGCTATATCATTGACGAAGAAAACGGTGCTTGATCTTGTTTTTAGTTGAAAGGAGAACGTTTTGTTACATTCTGGTGTGTAGAGTGCATTAGAATTGGATCTTGAAGAGTTAAAACAGAATTTAGAGGTGTGTTTTATTCAAATATTGAATTGTTGAAAGTATATCATGATATCAATTGTAGCTACAAAGTCAAGAGGTGAATCAACGAGATGAAACATTACAAGAACTTGTGAATAAGGTGAAGATAGAAGGAAAACAAAGTGAGAAACGAGTGAAGCAATTGATTCTTTTTGGTATTAGGTAGATATGTTACATGATGCGTTTACTTCACTCTCTGATGTTGTCACATGTGAAGTTGGTAGGTCAATTACATTCATGAACAATTTAATTCTTAAGTTTGATTCTTTTATTTCGTCTTGAGATTAGAGGAAATGCACAAGAAACTTGCAATTACTTCTTCAAACTTACAAGATCGTGTGAATAAGTTGGAACATTCATTTCAAGCACTGGAAGCTCAAGTCCAAAAGGATGAAAAGTATGATAAAGTTCAAGAAACATTTGATCGTCGCTATCATTATGTCCAAGAATTGTGTTCGAAAATTGATCTCTCACTTCATGAATCTCGAGCAGAGCTAGCATTTGTAAAATCTGCTACTAAAGATCTTATGACTCGTGAACAAGATACTGTTCAAGTTCAAAAATCATTTCAAATAGCACAAGAAGATGTGAGTGTCACCTTGAAACGATTGAAAGAAGAGACGAGTCAATTTCAAGTGGAATTGATTACATTGAAAGATCAAACGACTGGAACTTTATCGTCAATTGCAAGTGATGTTCAAGTCCTTGCTGACGCTTATTCAGTTCTTCGTAGTTCAGTAGCAAAACAGCAATCGAAATCTGTTGGGAATTTTAAAAAATTACAAGAAACTTTAGAACAACAAGGTCGAAATGATCAAGTGAAGCTTACACAACGAATGGACGCACTCTCGGATGCAATTGCGTCTCGCGATCTTCGTACGAAATATGCAATCGATGATCTTGTGAAAAATGATGATAGAAAACAGTGTGCTGTTGATGAATGTCTAACACTTTGTTCACGTGAGATACGAGCAATAAGAAACGAAGTCAAGTACATTCAAAACGATCAACAAGTGAAATTGGACCAAATGACGAAGGAAATGGCAAAACTTGGTCAGCATTACAACGAATGTCATAACTTACGACGTTAACTTCATCTGTAGCAAACAAAGAATGATAGAACTCACCGATTCGTCAAATCTTTGCGCTTTCATCTTGATATCATGTATTTCTTCTTATACTTTTCTTTAAGCACTGCATACTTGTTTGAAATATCCTTTTCATCATTAAAAATCTTAGAAATTTTAAAGCAACAATGTTAGAAAACTTCTTACTTTTTCTGTCTTGATCGTCAATAATTCGTTATTGAGATGATGTAAAGTTTTCATTTGGTGATAATGATACTTTCGATAATGTCGTGCATGATATAATCCACGACTACAACAAATTCTCATCATTTCCAAACCAAAGAGAACGAAAAGTCCATTCGTGAGAATCTTAAAATTCTTTTCAAGTTGTTGTAATTGATCATCACTAGAAAAAGTAAAAAAGTTAATCGAAATATTCGAGTTCAAACTTGAAATTTTATCAAACTTACGAAAGTTTTAATTCATGTTGATGATGTTGTAGGAACTGATCAATCGCAGTACGTTGAGTTAACATGATGAGAGCTAAGAGAAGCTCAGTGAATGCCAGTAGGATAAAAAGATACGACGAATACGAAAGACATGAGGAGCAGCTTTGAGTTGAGAGTCCACACCAACTCATTAAAGTTGAAAAGAGGAGGAATATGCCCAGTGCTAGTATGGGCAGGTAAAGCCATTGTGGTGCAAAATGATTTAATCCTGAGAAGTATGAGATTCGTTATGATATGATATGAAGAAGAGAAAGAAAAGAAGATTCGTACCAAGATAAAGACTGTAGATTGTAAGACTTATACCACAGAATAGATCCACAGTGTTACAGATAAAGAGAACACTGCCAACGCGACATTCGTTACAAGAATTGCTGCACATTATTGAATAGAAGATGAGCTGTTAGAACAAATATTGGAGAAGATATAAATTTTGAAAGGATGCGGAAGATAATAAAGTTATTTTGAGAGTCTTAGCATTGTCAAATACCGAAAAATGGGTGGTATCTCTTTTATAAGACTGATATACTATAAATTTCTATCAAATTTACAGAATACCACCGCACTACCGAAAAACGCATATGAAATATTAAACATACCGGTAGTAACGCCAGTAATTTACTAAGTTAAGAGTCGAACTTATTTCAATTGCCGATGTATCAAGTAGCCACTTACAATGTATTGATTTCTGCGCTTTGTAGTAGAGACTTGCGCAGTGAGTGATATCTGGCTGAACAACTGGCAAAACTTTACATCATAAGTTGTCTTCCTTTTTGAACGTGTGGCTAGTAGCCCGCATTTCCCTGTCTATATCTCGCGCCACTAGCAATCCATACTTCCATTTTTTAAAATTTCGAAAGGTTTATACATTAGTCTTCCAGTCTTTGTATATCCTGGGAATCGAATATAATTGACCGAACTAAACTTATACAGTTGCACCAGTTGTAGCCGTTAAGCTCGCAAAATCACAGTACTTAACCTGTTTCATCCTCCCCCACAAAAATGTGAATCTCACTTATACTAAACGTATTATGTCTCTGAAAACACCGTGCGAAGGAACCGCTTGACAAATAGCCACAGCGCCTAAAGTTCTACTTCTCATTACGATCTTAACCATACCAACTCTCTGAGCGAACCAACGTTCTTGCACCAAAAGCTCGCTTTCGTGCGCCAAATAAATCAATGATCCACCGCCAAAAGCACGATCCTCGCAACTGGCCCGCTTTTAAACTTGCGTTGAGGATGCCAAGGTTCCCTACGATAAGAACGGCCCCTAGATCAACAGATCAGGAAAACAGAGTTTTGGAGCCCAGTCAAGGTGATCTTTCTCAAAAAGCGCACTTAGTTTAGACAAACATGGAGTAGTAACACCACCTTTGACCGATGGCCACCAATGAATCATTCAAGGCTACAGCACCTTTTAGTATGTTGCTAAATATCCTATTTACGGCTTGGATGAACCAAGACTTTTTTAATAAAGGACCGCGCTCACGCACATCTTTCATACGAAAAACTGAATCCCCAAGGAACTGGAACCGAGAGCGCTTAGTTTCTAGGTCCCCAAAGCTGAGTGTAGTTCTATCCATTTCATACTTGTAGATCTGAAGTCCAACTTAGAGGTAGAGGTCAAGATCTCTCAATCAAAACGAGGAGTGCTACGAATATTCGTAGTCGTCGATTGACTCAATTGTCTCGACAAACGCGAGAATAAACGAATCACCATGCCAACTCCTGAATATTTTGGCTGGCGTGCAAGTCCCCGAATCCTGCGCCGGGATCAGCTGATAAGTATCCTGCCGCTAGTGATAGGCGCCTGAATGTTGGAAAAGTAACATTAGAGCCTTCAGCAAGATCGCAGACAACGATGGGGACTACCACGCTACTCATGGGCCGAGTCCTCTGCTAGACGACACTGACGGTTGCGATGTTCACCTTGGATGAGAGAGCGGCTTAATCGAAGCAAGATCAACCCATTTTGTTGCTTCACCAGACGACAACACGCCACCAAGAGGCTCAACTGCCTCGGAAGGCGACGCAGATTCCAAGTCGGAATCGACGACAAATGCTCTTGCGTAGCCAGTCCCGAATTTTCAAATCCATCAATCCACAGCTTTCTTGACAGTAGAAGCTGTTGACAACTTGATGGCATGATCCCAGTCTCTTCTACCAACATGTTCACTACTGAATGTGAAAAATGAAATAGCACATATGGGTGTCAAGAGACGACCAATACGTCACCTGTGATTGGCGACTTCCAAAAATACCGGAAACAGATTTGCAGTCGGGACACCACCGGTAGCAGTATCAACGAGCCACTGACTGTCCGTGACGAAATTCAACGCGACATGAAGCGACCTCTTTCCAACCGGCCTATAAACCACCGCGAGAGTATCAGACGCCAACACTTGGAGTGAAACCTCTGTCTTCGGCATTTCTTATACTAGCAATCATCACAGTATAAATTCCGGGTTGGCACTAACACTTCTTAGTTTGTAAGAGCAACAGAAAACACCTTTAGGCCCCGCTTAAAGTTGAGACTCTCCATCCTTAGGAGGTGCACCAATACACTACTGAGAACCTACAGCCGTCGTTGACGTTGGAGAAAAACGCGGTATTTGTACTTTGACCACAACTTGCTCCACACAAGCCGTCGTACTTTTCTTAAAAAAAACTACTGTCGAATGAAAGTGATGTCTTCAACGAATTTCACCGCAATCACGTCAGCTATCGATTGTATGGTATGATACCGCCTAATATCAAGCTTGCGACGACAAATGTCATATATCGCTTCATGTCCGCTGTGCAAAAAGCTTTTGGCAGGGATCAACGTTTGGATGCGGAGGTCAAGCAACTGCTAAACGAGGTGGGCACCACTCGCACCACTCGCTACGTTCTTATCTCACTGATAACTATCCTGTGCTTTGTTTATAATCAGAATGGCGCGCGTCGGTCCACATTTTGCTTTATCTTTTGGTGATATGTTGATCAGCCTGCGTGCCACGGATGATATCCGCGTGTCAGAGTTAACGCCGCGGTACACTTGCTGCCTCACATGATATTCCTGTCATTCATGTCACCGTCTTCAAGAATCTAACATCGAGAGATCAGAGCCATTGTCTAAAAAGTAGCGGGAGCCAGGGTATTTGAGATCGCGGCGGTTGACTTGACCAGTATTCATCAGCAAGAACCTCTTGATAAAGTCGCTTCCTGGCGCATCTTATCATATCTTGGTAATGTGAGACGATCACAACTATGATACAGATGCCCATCACTCGCCAGTTTCACCGCTTGTACCTTGCCATAGATGCCTAAGTGTTTTTCACTCAGCGCGCGACTGCAAAAATGCGTACGCAGAAAAGTCATTGGAAATGTACACATTTGTGAGGCTTTGAACGCTGTACAACCTTACCACAGTGCTACAGATCAGGATGACTATCACCCAAACACGATGTATGTGCAAATGCAAGCGCTTCGAGAATATCTGTCACCGTTGCTTGCAGCGTCGACTTGCGCAGAAAGAAGACGAGCGTTTTGAACTGATCGAAAAATTGAGCAGCATTTTGTATCCAATACGCGTATCTAGAAGCAAACCAAGGACAAAGTTCAGCTAGGCGCATTGCTTAAGAAAAAATTCGTGGCGTGAGCAGCTCACAAACATGTGGTAAGCACCTTCGCAATCTTCACACTTAACAGAGAGACAAGGCGCCTCTCACAGCAACCAGAGACACTGTATCGGCTCAACACTGTGCTGGTAAACGGGTCTCCACGGTCGAATAGGATAAGACCGAGGGCACCGATAGCACATCCTCTCCGCTGACAGCAGTCCCTACTCCGATGTCAACGTCAGCCCTTACCTGTAAAAAAAACCACGAGACACGAATAGTTAAGTGGCATCGGGAAGACAAATCGCTATGGATACATTGTCGCTTTCTGCATACGGCTGCTACAAGTCCCACAAAGAATGCCTAATAGTGTACTTAATATCGCTCTCGACCTTCTACGCACCGCAATCTGTATTCAAATTTTAGCTCAATTGAGAAGGAAATCGCCTCAAGCCTATCAAGAATTGATCGAAAAGCTCCCAGTTGCAGCACTACTATCTTTTTTGCGACGTTGGAGACCAGACCGGGGCTGCATGGATCGACGCGCTCAGGAGACGTACTATTGACTTTGCAGACTGTAGAAGTCGCTTGCGCTACACCATTCATGGCTGCCGTACGCGATATGTCCGACCAACAGTACAGCGCATCCATACATGTGAAACTAACACACGCCGAAGCCCATCATTACAAGTAGGGGCGCGCCTCAATTTTGACATCTATTTGAAACTAATGATTGCGACTTACTCGATCACGCTCAAAACTTCAGGCATCTCTTCCCCAGTTTCTACCCTCCGACGAACCGAGCAACGGCAATATAGATAGTTCGCGCTTTCAAGGCAAAAGTTTGAGATGCCGATATCGACAATAGCCTCACGTGCACTCAGTTGATGGTGAAGAATTGTATAACTTTGGAGGAGGAGTATACATTTGACCTTTCGAGACGATCTCGCAGGAAGCTTCGGGAGCGGCTTCGCAGCTTTTATGGAAGAAATATATCAGAAGCTTTCTGCTTCAGTGTTGGCAATATATTCAATGCTACTATCGATCAGGTAGCAGAGATGATGTACCAATACCACCGTAGTAAAAAGATTATTTTCGCAGGTAAGACAAGTTTGAAAGACCTTCACACTTCTTAAAACGACCCAAATGTGCACAGTCAAAAGGAAAAGGAAGTGATTAATTGACGATAATGAAGATATCATTTTCCATCATTTTAGTAAGCGACGAGTATTTCGCGCATGACGGTGTCAGCGCCAGCACCACCAAGCCCTTCGTTTTACCTAATGGACCATCGATAACTTAAACCCAAAGAAGTATGAGAAGACTATCAAGGCTGGCAAGTAATTCAGATCTCGCCGCTCAAAAATGTTGAAGAACGATGTTGCGGATTTTTCTAATGATTGGATCGTATATTTATACGGCAGAGTAGTATGTAAGTGTTTTGGACAAGAAAGACAGGAACATAATAATTTTCAGGTTCACCATCAAATCACACAGAATAAATAGTGCAGCGGGGCTGCCGTAGCTAAGCGCTTGAGGAAGCGCATTTTTTACAAGAACCAAGTATGATGTAGCGGATCGCAATCCGCTTACTCCAAGAGTCAATTAGCCTTGGAAAGGCTAATTGACTCTGGTTTGAATCCAAAACTGATTTTTATTTACTTTTTTTATTCTAATTTTAAATGTTTAGATTCTCCTAAATATACTTAATATATAGTAGAATCTAAATACATGCATAACTACTGGCTATCTAGCCCCGTACAGTATTCTCGTTTGGGTGTGGTTACACCATGCATATCTCGTGTGACAAACACCTGTTTATCAGGGTTCTTGTAACCCCGTTACAAAAAGTCCTATGGTTTAGCTTTAAATTGGATATTTACAAAAAAAGTAATGAAATTACTTGAGGTCATCCTGACATAATGGCGTCATGCTCCGAGTGTTTGGCTGGTGCCGGACTCTTAATCTTTAACGGCGTGGATTTCATTGCAGGCGTTGCACTATGTATCTATAGCCTTTATATTGGCACGAATCACTTTGCACCGTTGTGGCTTTATGGTGCGTTGTTATTGATTGGAATGATCTGATGTCTAAGATCTAAGTACGCTGCTTCACAGTTCCTTTATTGGCTATCGGTAGCATTCTCGTCGTCGTATCGATCATGAGCAGCTTTGGTTTAGTCTTTCAAAGCTGCTCCATTTGTATGGCACTATCGTCAGACGTCCTCATGTGGATCTCTCTCGCTGAACTTGGTCTATCTGTCGTCATTTTTACCCAAGGAGGAGCAATTGGTGATTTCTTACGTGAACACAGCGACGAACTTAAACTCAAGTCAGTGAAGTATTTATTTCTGACAGAAGGACGAACAATCTAATTTTATTGCTTTCTTGTTGCGTGTGTACGTGTCAGTGAAGATCAATTGGCACGTTTCGAGCGTCACAAATTCTATCCAGCGTACGCATTGTTAGCTTTATGTTTAATGGAAAGTCTGCGACAACGTTACAGCACGACCTTGCACCATGCACGGCTACGTCGTCAATATCAGTATGAAATGCTGGCCTAAGCTATGGATTTCTTAACAATAGATCAAATACATTAGACAGCATTTGAAGTGAAAGTTTATGGTAAATATTACAATTTCTTTAGAATTTCAGTGATTAAATTGAAGAGTTGCTAGCATCAATCTGGAAAACTCAAAGTACTATGTACATTAATAACTTAATTTCAAAAGAAATCATTTTATACAGGTCAGAGAATTATAGAATTTCTCAAAGATATCGATTTAGCTTGCTAATGGCGCCACGTACTGTTCCCTCCACGCGCATGTGGATGCGATTTCTTGCTCCCTACTACATTTGTAATGGTGTAATGTTGCTAATGTATGTGCCAATTCGCTATCATCATACTAGCGAGGCATTGCTTCAGCGAGAAAACTTTCTAAACTTGACACTGGTAAGAAAATCAACATATTAATCTTGAAAACTATTTTGTTTAAATTGACTTGGTATGACAGGAGCAAGAGATTTTTCTGTTAGCACTAGGCTCGTGGCTGCTAAATTATCGAAAAAAAGCGACAGTGGACGGTGTCATTGCGCTTTTCTATATGTATGGCAAAATTGCTATTTTAGCATCACTTTACTACTTGGACATTACTCTGTTTGGGTGGTATTTGGTCGTCTGCTTAGGTACAACTTGTGGTCGTAGTATCCAAAGAATTTGACTCTTGACTGTTGCTATTTAATTGCAAAGTATTATTTGGAGCAGTGGGATTGCCGCGATACGATGGCGCGTCGAATATTGTCGAGCTCAATCCAGCTACAATGGAAAAATTAATCACAAAAGCTGTTGACTCACCTTCTTGGCTTGTATTCTACTATACGGACTGGAGTGATTCTTGTGTAGAACATGAACCAATGCTTGCTGACCTCTCGCTTAGGTTCTGAATGCTATTGTTATTCATTCGATTTGTCTTGCTTTAAAAACTAAAAGTGATTTTTGTTGTGGAGTAGATACTCTTCGACCTCATTACAATTTGGCCGGGTAGATGTAAACAAATGGCCTGATCTAGCTGTGGAGAATCAAATTAATGTATCTACGTCGTCGTGGCAATTACCGACTTTGATTCTCTTTCAATCGGGGAAAGAAATGATGCGATTACCGCCGATTGACGAGAATGGAAAAATTACGAAAAGTGTTCTTGATCAGGTAAGAGTAATAAGTTTTGTTTTCGAGAAAGAGCAAAGAAATTGCTTATTATCTCTTACAATATTGTTTAGGCGAGTCTTATTGCTGCTTTCAAGCTTCAGGCGCTAAAAGAACGCAAGTGCGTTGAATGGTCACCAAGAACAAGCTAAAAGATGTAATTGATAAAGATTATACAAGTACTCGTCGTATGTGACAATTAGATTACAGTTATGGATGAATATCAAGATTCTAGATGATACGTCATAAAACACCTAATAGCTGTTTCAAGATAACGTTACACATGAAATGCATGTACAAAATCATATGCGATAGACCCAACACTTAAATCATACAGCATGAAATATCTTGTATCTTGACCGAGATATCTCGTACAAGGTAGTCAGGTATAATCAAGATTACAGTGGCTCGTAGATAGTCGAGATTTTGCTCAATTGAATAGCACTTTTGGCTGGAGTGCTGTGATTGGCAATTTAGTGGTGCGAAAATGTAACAAATATTATGATACATTACCAGAACCAACCATTTTTTTTCATGTTTTAAACACAATTCTGCAAAACTCAAGTTGTCACCACCCTGTTAGAACTGTCATGCGCGTGTACGTTTTCGTCGCCATCTTTTTACATGGAGTTGGCTTTTGCTTTGCAGTGAGATTGGGAGAAAGAGCATGTCACGGCTTAGACACGAATGGTCGTGATCCACTTTGCACACCAGCGTACAAGGCTTACACGATCTCTAACAGAGCACTAAGACACAATGTCGCACTTGTGGAGAACATGACTTATGTTGATGGCAAAGAAAAGGAAGCAAGAATGCAAGATTTGGAATTTTTAAAAGACTTGAAAATGTCAGGTATATTTAGTGTTAAGCTGCAGAAGATACAAACGGATTTGAACGGCCCTCTCATAATAAATTCGGCTTTAATTTTCAATCATAACAAATGGCTCGATGTAAACCATCGTTTGTATTCCAAGCTCCATGAGATACTTGCACACAATAGTCCAATCGAGTTCGACAAGATAATAGATAAGTGGTTTGAACTAGCTATCACCCACAAAGAGGTTTATCAAGAACTTGGCATATCTTCTGATGGTTTTGATCAGGCGCTGTTTTCTGCTTTGTATGCGGTATCGGAAGAAATGACTAAAAGCGTACCGGTGTCTCTAATGATGATCCTGTTAGAAAATCTTCGCGTCAAGCCAGAATTTCAATCCCTCGCAGAGAAATTTGAGCGAATCATTCTTTCAGGAGCGGGTTCTAAACCTTTGGTCTTTAAAGCTTGGATCAAAAACCCTAACAGTGTGAAGGATGTTCGTCGGATTCTCTTTGGCACCAAGGAACGCATCGGTTTGGATGATTCAAACTTTTGGGTGTGGTTTGACTATTTACATTTCGTCTGGAATTATTCTGTGACGGTTTCAAAACCGAACTATTTTGAATTTATTGACTTTCTACTTCACAACGGACTGACGGAGAGCGAAGACATGACAAAGGTGCTTGATAACCCAGAATTCTCCCTTCGTTTTCCGCATCATTCAGCTGATTATAAAATCATGCGGAGAGCTTGGTATTCGGTCAAATGTCTGAACGAGGGGAAAGTTCCGGCAGTGGCGCTGAAAGAAATAAACGATTATCAAAAGTCTGCCTCAGACGCTGATGAGCTCATATCGTTACTCATTTATGCCTTTCGATACAGGAAACAGTTTCAATATTTCGATATCGATCTGTATCGTTTTTTGACTTCCAATCGACCATTCGATCAGGTGATGGGACTGCTGAAATCATCTGAAAACCTTCCAGAGTCAATTTCTGAAATGGCATGCAATATGCTGTACTCCATGATTACCGACAAAGCCGTGGTGACGGCTTTGAAAAATGCCCGAACGACCTTTGAACAATACAAACAATACTTTGCCGATCTCAAAGCTGTGTATCCAAAGTCAAAACCTACAAAGGTCGCTACGTCACAATCGCTTGTGATACCTGACGATGACTTTTGGTCGAAGCTCAATAATTATGATTTGATTGCGACGCATTGGAACGCACCCACCGACCAAGGGCACGGTTATATGTGGTGATTAACGGTAAAATCTGAGCTTATTGCTTTGATTGAGAGAACTTAATGTGACCTACTATCTTTGACAGGTGCTGTATAAAGCAAGAGAAGCCTCACGGTAGTGGATTGCAATCTTTGTGTCGGCAACATTTCGCCCACGAGATGAATATAACATGCTTTCTGTT